CTGTGTTTGTAACTTGAGGACTACTTTATACAAATAGTCCTCAACTTATAATCACAAATGGGACCAGAATGTTTATTGCTAAGCAATACGGTTCTTAGGTGAGCTGCGCCTGATGTACAATCTTTTTTTGCCACTGTTGTTAAATGAATCACATGGTTGTTAAGTGAATCCTGCTTGACTTTGCTTGCTGAAAGCCAGCTGGAGAGGTCACAAATGGTGATCACCTGATCCTGGGACACTGCAAAAAATGTGATTACATGTTGGTCACCAAATGTCTGAATGTTGATCCTGTGACCATGGGGATGCTGTGATGCTGTGTGTGAGGACTGATTGTAAGTCACATTTTTCAGTGCTGTTGTAACATTGAACAGTGACTAAATGAAAGGCTGTAGTCAAGGGTTACCTGTATGGGACATTCCTCCCAAGGTTTCCTAACCACTGTTTTATGGGCTTCTCTTTATTTTCTTTGCAGCCTTGCTATGAGAAGGTGAAACGCTGGCTAGCGGAGAACATCTTTGCAATGGGCATTTTTGCTGCCTGTATCATTGTTGTCCAGGTGAGATGATCAGAGCACCAATGGCAGATGGAGTAACCTAGACTAGGGGTAGGCAACCTCGGCTCTTTTATGACTCATGGACTTCAACTCCCAGAAGTATGCTGACTCAGGAATTCTGGGAGTTGAAGTCCATGAGTCATAAAAGAGACGAGGTTGCCTACCCCTGACCTAGACCAATGTTTTTCTCAATCTTGGCAACTTTAAGATATGTGGACCAACTCCCAGAATCTGGGAGTGGGAAGTCCATACATCTTAAAGTTGCCATGGTTGAAAAGCACTGACCTAGACATGTAGCAAGATTTCTTTGAAAGATCTCTATTCTCACCCCAAAGAGCAAGGGTGGGGAACGATAGTCCTGTTATGACTTATGGACTTCAACTCTCAGGAATTCTGGGAATTGAAGTCCACAAGTCACAAAAGGGCCATCGTTCTCCACCTCTGACATAGAGCAAGGGAATGCAAGCACCTCTCCCACCCCTCTTGGGGAGGTTATTTTTTCCTGAATTCCTCAAAGTTAACACCTGCAAATCTGAATGCACAATTTTCAGTTGAATGAGGAACAAGTAAAAATGGGCTTGCAATCTTCCCCTAGATTTAACGTACTTTTTTTTGTGCTTAATCCTCTTTAACCTAAAATAAAGCAGTAGACACTTAAATCTTTGCCTGCTCAGATGGCACCATACATCACCTCAAGTCTCCTGCTGCACTTGGAGGATAAAAAGAAATATGCACACAACAAAGTGTGATTTTTTTTCTTTTAAAAAAATGGAGACTACATATCATGAGAAAAAGAGCAAAGACCAGGTAGTAGAAGAAAAGCCAGCTGTACAGCTCATTAAAGTTATGTAGGTTCAACAAAGACAGCATGTTATGTTTTGGTCATATAATGTGCAAGATAGCAATGAGATCAGAAAAGCAGTATGCATTAAATATAAAAATAATGCAAAGGATTTAAGTTTTTGGCCACTGTTAAAAAGCCAGTTTCACTGGTTTCTAAGATTTCATCAAGCATGGCTTACGGTTCAAACTGCAAAACTTTCAATGGCCACTGGATGGCAGGAAAGAGGTAAATTTTCAGCATTCCTCTGCTGACATCTAGTGTTTGCATAATTTTAGAAGTTATAGCCTAGCTGCAGATCTGATACCATAGAACAGGAGTGTCAAACTGCCAGCCCATGGGCCAGTTGCATCATGCAGAGGCCACGCCCACCCCAGCTCTGGCAATGCAAAAAAAGTTGCCATACGGCGCAACGTGTCACATGAGTTTGACACCCGTGCCATAGAAGGAAGATAATAGAATTGGCAAGTTACTTTTTAAATGTGACCAACACCCAGAGAGAATATTCAGCTCACTAAAATTTGTTTGGTTTCTATCCTGCCTTTTCCTTCAGGAGCTCAAGGCCTCATATATAGTGTCCCTTCCTGCCTTTTTATTCCCACAATTACTAGTGATGGAGAAGAAGTGGCAAAAACTGCCAGGGAATTTCTTTGGCTGAGGTAAACTTGAACCTGAGTCTCCCTCAGTGTCAGCAGCACCCTGGATGTTATATCCCCACCAGATGCTCTAAAGTGGCCTTCTCCAACCAGATCCCTCTAATTTTCAACCTATGTGGAGAATGCCAGGCTGAGGAAAGTTGTGTTACTAGCATAATATGTACTACCTGTTTTTGCACTATCCAAAATTTCATTAAGGCAGCAAGATGGCTGGTAGAAAAGGTGCGGAGAAGGGCCCTGCCTGCTCTATTCACTTTCTAGTTAAACCTGGTTAAACTTAGTTTGAAAAAGAGAGGGGGGAGAAAGTACACCTTCTGTACCCATCCATTGCTGCTCAGAACAGAAGATCTTCTGATGAACTAGTTCAGGGGTAGGCAACCTTGGCTCTTTTATGACTCGTGGACTTCAACTCCCAGAATTCCTGAGCCAGTATGGCTGGCTCAGGAATTCTGGGAGTTGAAGTCCATGAGTCATAAAAGAGCCAAGGTTGCCTACCCCTGAACTAGGTCATATGGGGCTAGGCTTAGAACAATGTTTCTCAATCTTGGCAAATTTAAAATGTGTGGACTTCAACTCCCAGAATTCTTCAGCCATTACAGGGATTGGGGAATTCTGGGAGTTGAAGTCCAAAATTTTAAAGTTGCCAAGAATGAGAAGTAGTAGGTTAGAATATTATCAGTTAGTTTCTACGTGTCCAAGCAGTGAGATTACTTCATGGCCCAAGCCAAGAGCTGGCAGTACTTGCTTATGTTTTGGAGCAGACAAGGAACAGGCATTTCCAAGAGATAAGAGTACCATAAGCTGGGCTAGGGCTTCTGTTCTTTTTCTGACTAAATCTTTCTCTATTCCTTTAGGTCTTGGGTATCGTGTTCTCCATGCTGATGTACTGCCAAGTTCGGAGGGTAGAGAAATACTATGACTGACTCCATCCAAGTCCATTCCATGTCCTTTCAAATTTGGGGACATGAGATGCAGAAGGATCAAGAGCATTTTTCGCTCCTCTGGAGTTTTTTTGCATTGGTCCCTTCCCGCATCTTCTTTCAGTTTCTCTTCTTCAGGTGAAAACCAGTTCTGATGCTTGGTAGGTTCATATCATGTGTGAAAGAGGGGCTCTCTCTTCCCATAATAACCAATTCTCCTGAGGAACTTCATCTCTGTTTCTATTGTCCATAAGTTTAACTCCTAAGCAAAGCTCTTATTTACATCTTCTCCCTATATTTTATGATGTGGTCCCTCCAACCTCCTGCTTTGTATACAACAAGAATAAAACAAGCACCAATAAAACAATATTTATCTTTTAGATAGTGCATTTGGTACCTGTTGTCTATTTATAGTTTGTGTTATGATTTAGTTGCACCTATAACTGTATTTTAAAAAGGCTGGGATGTTGACTAAAAACTTGAGATTGGCTGAGTAAAAACATCGTAGAATTATACGTATTATTCATGTCCCATTTTACTTGAGAAAAGCAAAAATGAATTTAATGGCAAAGCAATGTTTCCAATGAACATTGATGGGAAAAGTGGCAGTATTTCATCGAACAAAATTCCTGTTGCAGCCCTTCCATTTTAGGCAGTTATAAGAAGTCACCCGCTTGTCTTTTCATATTACAAGTAGTCCTCAACTTATGACCACAATTGAGCCCAAAATTTCTGTTGCTAAGCAAGACAGTTAAGTGAATTTTGCCCCATTTTATGACCTTTCTTGCCACAGTTGTTAAGTGAATCACTGCAGTTGTTCAGTTAGTAACACAATTGTTAAGTGAGTCTGGCTTCCCCATTGACTTTGCTCGTCAGGAGGTCACAAAAGGTGATGCTGCAACCATCATAAATATGAGCCAGTTGTCAAGCATTTTAATTTTGATCACATGACCATGGGAACACTGCAACAGTCATTAGTGTGAAAAATGGTCATAAGTCAACTTTTTTCAGTGCTGCTGTAACTAAACAGTCACTAAATGAACTGATGTAACTCCAGGACTATATTACTTGGAGTGCAGTTTCAATGCTTTTAACTTTCTGGAGACTTCCCTGGTATTTTTTTTTTTTTCATTTAAATTATCTTTCTCTAACTTGTGCTTCAGAACTCCTGCCAACACTGCTGATTTCTACCCTAAAAACTCAGAAAGACAATACAGCAAAAGGAGCTGGTAAAAGACAACTTTTTATTATTATTATTATTATTATTGGCTTATAGGCTGGCAGGAAGGAGAAAAAAAAATATCCTCTCTCTTCCAATTCACCAATCGTCTTTGGACAAAAATAGAGGGTTTGGGCCAAAAATGGCTCTTGAAAATCTGATATAAAAGTAGGCTGGGGTGGAGGGGGATCAGTCTGAGGCTGTACGCAGCTCCTAGACCCTTTCGCATCCCACCTGCCACAGGGTGGAAGGGCACATTGGCGCCAACCTCCCCAAGAGTAAAAAGGACCCTGAAATTGTACTCCTGAAAATGGGGAGAGTTTACATGTAGGAGAAAGGAGAAAAAAAAAACACGGCAAAATGGCACCGGCCCTTCCTTCCATTTACTGTTCCTCAAAGGGACAGTTAATTTTAAACCAAAGTATACACAAGCCCAGTTTGTGTGCAAAGGATCTTCTTTTAAGACACTTACTAGGGAGGAAAAAAAAGAGAGATGGAGAATTTCTAAGAACTTGCTGCAGAAAGATTGATGGGTGGGTGGGGGTGGCAGAGGCAGAGCACAGTGGTAGAGCTACTTTTGTCAGGGTGTCTCTAGTGTTCCTGTCTTCGTGTGCGTGTGTTTTGTCAAGGTGTGTCAGAAGCCCCTCTCAGAAGAGCTGTTATAGCTAAGTCAGTGTTTCTCCACAATCTTGACAACTTTTAAGATGTGCGGCCTTCAAATCTCAGAATTCCGCACATCTTAAAAACTGCCAAGATTGAGAAACACCGATCTTAGCATTCAAATCACAGAAGCTGAGGCTTCTCGGTTGGGAAAAAAAAAGAGGTAATTAACCCTTCCGGCCCATCTGTAGTGTGAAACTGAGGTTACCCATTTTAAATTAAAGCTTGTGGGAGCCAAGGCCGGAGGGGAGGATAGAATTTGAACGGTATGGCTTGAGAGGAGCTCTGGACCCTGTCTACCGATTTTTGGTAGTGGAGGAAAATGGCGCCGAGGCGGAAGGGGCAATGGCCAGATCTATTAATATTTCCGCTGCAGCTTCTGGAAGTCACTGGTGTTCAGGCGTGGCCGAGGCAGATCCCCAAACATCTCTGTGCCATCTGAAACCCGCAGCACCAAAGCTCTCATGCTGGCGGCAATCTTCTCGAGGTCAGGAGACGAATGCTGTGAAGAGGAATGGAAGTGAGAAAACGGAGAACAGCTTTGCTTTTCCTCCTGCACCTCCCAATTTCCTCGACTGCTTCCCTTGTTCCTTGCTGTTACTGATAATGAGAAGCTTATCACTGTGAATCTGACTTCTCTTCCACCATTACAGATAATCCTCGACTTACAAGAGTTCGTTCAGTGACCGTTCGAAGTTACAACAGCACTGAAAAAAGGGACTTAACGACCATTCTTCACACTTACAACCATTGCAGCATCCTCATGGTCACATGATCAAAATTCAGATGCTTGGCAACTGATTCATATTTATGACGGTTGCAGTGTATGGGGTCCTAATCAGCGACTTCCTGATCAGCAAAGTCAATGGGGAAGCCAGATTCGCTTAACAACTACGTTACTAACTTCACAATTACAAGTGGTTCGCTTAATAACTGTGGCAAGGAAGGTCGTAAAATGGGGCAAAACTTACTTAACAAATATCTTAGCCACAGAAATTTTGGGCTCAGCTGTAGTCATAAGTCGAGGACTTTCTTCTATACCAGTTCATACAAAAAGAACCAACCTGGAAAGCTGATTTTCTATACAAAATACTCATTATAGATAGTCCTCAACTTACAGCCATCCATTTAGTGACCATCCAAAGTTACAACAGCTTTGAAAAAGTGACTTATGACTGGATTCTCAGAGTTATGACTATCCCAAGGTCACATGATCAAAATTTGGATGCTGGGCAACTGGCATGTATTTAAGATAGTTGCAGCATCCTGGAGTGATGTGATTGCCAGTTGTGACCTTCCCAGTTGGCTTCCTACAAACAAAGTCATTGGAGGAAGCTGGATTCTCTTAGCAACTGTGTGGTTCTCTTTAACGATTGCAGTGATTTGCTTAACCATGGCAAAAAAGGTTGTGAAATTGGGTGTGAGTCATTTAATTGCCTTGCTTAGCGATGGGAATCCTGATCTTAACTGTGATCGTAAGTCAAGGACTATCTATATACCATTTTCCATCACCTGCTCAAAGGAATGAAAACTTTTAATGTGATTAAAGAACTGCAAGCCACTTCTGATTTTTCTCCAGAAACTGGTTTGCAGCCCCTTTTTTATAAAGTCTTTTCCTCTGAAGTATCTAACTGTAGGAGTTCCCTTTTCCTCATTATACCTACCTAAGTGGTTTATGGATAAATGACGCTCGGTATAGAGATAATTGAGAAAGAACAAATAAAGCCAAAAGTCACAACTGAACTAGGCACAATTGAATGGTCAAGATAGTGGACAAAGAGCCAACTCTTAAACCAGTGTTTCCAAACCTTCCAAATTGAAGAGGAGTGGACTTCAACTCCCAGAATTCTCAGAAATGGCTATGCTGGCTGTGGAATTCTTGAAGTTGAGGTCCACATACCTGGAAATTGCCCAGGTTGGGAAACTTTGCATTAGGCTGTTGCATTTCTAAGATTTGCTATTCCAAACTATGAAAAATAGTTTGATGGGGCCCAATGCCCTGCTCAATCCACAAACCCATATTAAAGCATGGCTAACAAATAGCTGCCTGTATTTTCTTTAAAACACATCTAATGCAGGGACCCACAACCTGTTTGGGTATTTGGCTTGAACTGCTCTTACTGTAAGAAAGTCTTCTACACAATTCATTCTGCCTGCTTTGATCTGCCTTCCTGTAACCTGAGAGCATTTTCCTGTGTTCCATCCTTTGGGATGATGAAAAACAGATTTTTAACCTTTTTCTGCAAGACCTTATTTCAGGTTCTTGGAAATCTATCAATTCTTCTCTCGCTCATCTTTTCTAAAGCACAAATATATAAAGCTCCCTCAGACTCTCTCCAAAGACATAATTTTGTCCCTGAGCAGGCTCCTTTAACATGTTGCAAATTCCGAGTCCTCCTTAAAAGGTGGCAGCCAGAAATGCAAAATATGCTCAAGATGGTCACTCAAATTTGTAAACATATCACTACATCAGGACGGTACAATTTTTCACTTTTAAAAAAGAAGGGAATTTGTAACACCCTCCCCCCAAAAGCATAATATATATTTATTCAGGCCCCCAATCACAATCACTTCCAAAAAATGTGGCAACCCTTCTCTGATGGCATCACCCTCATGTCTTCTCCAGCTGAAAAGACCAGCAGGGAAGTCGAGTCTGTGGTTGGGAAAAGATTGCCTAAAACCCCTTGGAATCTAATCAGGCTTTTAGGCTGAATTAAGCATTTTGTTCTCTACTTTCAGACCTGAGATAGGCTCAGCTCAACAACCCCTCTCAAGGATTTTATTACAGGTAGTCCTTGACTTATGACCAAAATTGGGACCAGAATTTTCACCATGAAGCAAAGTGGTGGTGAAATGAATCGTGCCTGATTTATGCCCCCCCTTTTTTTCAGCCACGTTTGTTAAGCAAATCACCACAATTAAGCAAAGTAGGTGGGTTGTTAAGCAAATCCAGTTTTCTTCATTCTTTTTGTTTGTTGGGAAGTGGCAAATGGCTATTACATGACTCCTGGGACACTGCAATTGTTGTAAATACATGCCGGTTGAGGACCAGCCGTAAGTCATATTTTTCAGTGCCGTTGTAACTTTGAACGGTCACTAAATGAATGGTTGTAATTCAAGGACCACCTGTACTTAGTCGGCGAGGCTCCAGCGACACCCAAGGAAAAAGAAAGTGTCCCAACAGCCCTTCTGCTTCCCCAGAGGACAGACTCTCAAAGAGCATTTTGACCCACCTTACTGTTCTCTTCGTCAGAGGATCGTATCTCTTGGCGTTGCTCTTTAAAGCCCCAGATGGGCACGGAGACTGGGAGGGATTTGGCATACTGATGGCTTGGGGGTGGAGGAGCTGTCTGTCCTGGAGCCTCCTCACTCAGACTCCCATCTGAGAAAAAGTGGGAATTTGGGAGAAAAAAAAAAGCTTAGACCAACTGTGCAACATTTGAAAGAGAGCTGTAGGCATGCGAAGCCTGATCTAAAACCAGGAGTTATGATTAATTCCTTTCACTTTGTTGAATTACAACTCCCAGAATCATTAATCTTTGGCCACTTTTGGCTGAAGCTGCCGGGAGTTGCGATTCAACATTTAGAGCCAGAGGTAGGCAACTTTTTAGGACAAAGGCACACCTGGAATTTTGACAGCATGTGTCAGATGCACTTTCCCGGCCAGTCACAAAACACTCATTTACTAAGAGGTTCTCTATCACGCCAGTGTGACCTTGATAAGCTCAAGGGGATTCCTGCAAATAGATACAAAGCTGCAGGCAATTGCGTTGTTGTGCATCATGTTGCCTTCCTTTTTTCTTATGACAAGCCTCTTTCAAAAGTGGGCAGCTATGGAAGGGTCTAGCTACACACTAACGTCTTCAAACTACCTCAGATCCTCCATCTCTCTGAACTTTATTCAAAAACTTTCCAAGTATGTACAAGAATGTATTAATCTTTGGCATAGATCAGTGGTGGCGAACCTATGGCATGGGTGCCAGAGGCGGCACTCGGAGCCCTCTCTGTGGGCACACATGCCGTTCCCCCAGCCTTGCCTCCCTCTGTGACCCCTCCTCTCCAGCAGCCCCCCTGAAGGAGACTCGCCCTCGAGTGTGGCCCACACGGAGCAGTGCAGCCAAGGACATGGCAGCCAGGCAGCGTAGACAAAACTCTGCCCTCACACCCCATCGCGCACAGTTGATGCTGCGGGGTGCGGGCAGAGGGTGTGGCCGCCATGGCACTGCTGGGCGATCTGTGGCAGGCCCTGGAGGCGGTGAGTGGCTCTGCGGGCAGGCGGGGTGGGGGCAGAGCAGGGGCGGGGCCAGTTTTTGGGCACGGTCTCTAAAAGGTTCGCCATCACTGGCATAGATTATACATTCTTGAAGATATTTTTTATCAAGTAATACCTGGAATGCTTATTTTTAGATCTGGCCAAGGCTAATCCCATTCAGCACTTCTCCATATTCTGTTTCCTGAAAATCCCAGGAAGCCAGAGATTGATTCATCAGTAGAGCAACCTTAAATCTATAATTTAAAACTTCCGCTCACCCTGTAATATAGTTTCAATTCCAAAGAGAACTGAAGATCTAGAAAAGACAAATGAAATGAAGCATCTCCCTGGGGCTTCAAATACCATTATAGTCAATTAATAAAGTTTTCCATTTATGGCAGCCTTTCTTAATCTGGCACCTTCCAGTCCCACTGCAAATACAGTTCCCAGAATTCCCAGTTTGCATGGTCAAACATAGGAAATCCTGGTTGCTGGATTGAATACTGTTAAATTGGAGATGGCTGTCGTAAAGCATTCAAGCTTCTGAGTTTTTGAAAACTCAAGTGATAATATACAGATTATTTACAAAAGTGTCAAATGTATAAATAGTGAGGAGTTATAACTCGTAATATACAAACGGTGGAGAATGACATTAAATATAAATAGGGGAAAAGGTTGAGAACAAGTCTTCCCAAGAAAGTAAATTGGATCCACTCAGACATGCCTAGCAGTCTCATTAAAGACTAATTAGACCAAGCAATTAAAGGAGCCAACTGGGTAGAGAAGACATAGCCCCACATATTAGGTGGATCTCTGTTTAATTATCCCTCACATTGATATCCTTTCTCCAAGGAATAGACAAAGCAGTTCCCCCTTTCTTTCTCTTCTCTCAACAAATTTGCAAAGTATGCTAGACTAGCCAAAGTCATCCAGTGAATGGCTGAAGAGATTTCTTTTTTATTCTCTTAGCCACTAAAATTATGCTTGTTACAGTACAGGTAGTTCTCGACTTACAACAGTTCGTTTAGTGACCGTTCAAAGTTACAACAGCTCTGAAAAAAGTGACTTATGACCATTTTTCACATTTACGACCATTGCAGCATCCCCATGGGCACGTGGTCAAAATTCAGACACTTGGCAACTGACTCATACTTATGACGGCTGCAGTATCCCAGGACCATGGGATCACCTTTTGCGACCTTCTGACAACCAAAGTCAATGGGGAAGCCAGATTCGTTTAACAACCGGGATAGTACCTTAACAACTGCAGTGATTCACTTAACAACTGTGGCAAGAAAGGTCATAAAATGTGTCAAATTTCACTTAACTGTTTCGTTTAGCAACAGACATTTGGGGCTCATTTGTGGTCGTACGTTGAGGACTACCTGTAATTGAACCTCACTAGGCTTGTCAGGAAGATCCTTACAGCAAATGAGGACTTCATGGAAGAAGCTGAAACCAAAAATTCACAGGACGTTTGGACTAATCCAGTAGATATGGATCATTCTGAGAAGGGAGGATACCTATTCCATAGCAAGAATAGGGAAAAATTCAAAGGATTAGCTGGGCTCAGTGTTGTCTCTCTTACACAGTGCTACTTCACTCACCGTCAGTGCTCTCCACATCGGAATCAAAAAAAGGCTCATAATCTTGGCTTGGAGAATCTTCGTCCATCACAAACAGACCTAAAAATGGATTGTTATCTTAAAATGTAGAATGTCAGTGGCTGTCCATACAAGGATCCCTCATGTTACAACCCTGTCCCTCAACATGTTGATAATCATTTTTTATCCCCCAGCTGAATAGAAATGCTACCTTTCTCATGCTACCTTTTTTTTTTTTTTTAGAATTCTTTGTATCCAAAAATAATACCATCACAGTTGAAAGCTATCAACCAGCTTGCACGAACATCAAGGTTTTCTAAATACAGCACAAGTGATGGGGTGTGTGTTTGAAACATCACACCAGACCAGTTAGAACCAACCATGCTCAATATAATAGTTTTCAGCAAACTGACTTGGAACCTGAAACAAAGCACACTTCAATGGCTGCTTGAAAATCCTACTTTTTATTTTAATTTATAAATTTCCTAGGAAGGCGAGGCAGAAAGTATATATCAACCCTCGGGTGAGGCAAGAACAATATGAGATGGAGGAAAGGACGGAGAAGAAAAGTAAGTACACAGTGAAGGAGTTGTCATGGTAGCTTAATAGGCCTCCTCCATTAATAAATGTGGATTAAGGTTTACATTATTGCAATTAAATGAGCCTGTGGACCTTCCATTCACACAGTCTCCTTTCATGTCAGCAGATGACAATAAGACATCTGAAAGGAATGCACCTCAAATATGAGAAGCCAGTTTTAAAAGAAAGATATTACATTGTAGGATTACAGAGAGCTGAGGTAATGCAGGGATTAAGATACTAAACTAGAAAGGCCATGAGTTCTAGTCCTCCCTTAGGCATGGAAGCCAGCTGGAGGACTTTGAGCAAGACAATCCCTCACAGGATTGTTGTTGAGGAAAATGGGAGATGAGAGAATTACTTATGCTATAAAAATGTATTTTATATTACGTATAAAATAAAGGTGGGATATGTCAAATAATGTTATAGCACATATTTCTGCTTATACAAGTAATTCTCAACTTATAATAATAATAATAATAATCATGATAAAGTTGAAAGGGACCTTGGAGGTCATCTAGTCCAACCTCCTGCTCAGGCAGGAAACCCTATACCATTTTGGACAAATGGCTGTCCAGTCTCTTCTTAAAAGCTTCCAGTGTTGGAGCATTCACTGCTTCTGGAGGCAGGTTGTTCCACTGGTTAATTGTTCTGTCAGGAAGTTTCTCCTTAGTTCTAAGTTGCTTCTCTCTTTCATTTAGGAACCATATGAATGGCACTAAAAAAATGACTTATGACTGGGACTCACTTTTACAACAGTCACAGTCTCCCCCACGGTTATGTGATCAAAATTTGGGCACTTGGTAATAGGCATTTATGATGATTGCAGTGTCCTGGGATCATGTGATTGCTGTTTGCAACCTTCCCAGCCAACCTCTGACAAGCAAAGTCAATGGGAGAAGCCAGATTCACTGAACAACTATGGCAAAAAGGTCATAAACAGAAGCATGATGCACTTAACAACCCCCTTGCTTAACAATAGAAATTCTGGTCCAAATTGTGGTCATAAGTTGAGAGCTAGCCACATAACGCCTCAATGCAGCTCATAAAGCTACAACGAAGTATAAAACATGAAAACAATGAAATCAAAATCAATAGTTAAAAAGGCTGAGCAAAAGAGATTCTTTTTTACTAACTTAAACTCTAGAGGAGCGGGGGGGGGGGGGCAAACAGGATTCCCTGGAGATAGCCTTTCATACGTGCGCAACCTAATGTTCTGAAGCAGTAAATGTTCTGTTCCTTCTCTGGACTTTGGCTGTTCTGGATTGCTCCACAGTTACTTACTGAACAACCAGGATCAGAACAGTCTGAAGGAGGAATGGAATATTTTAAAATGCTAAGCTTTGCATAACTAATGACCTACTTTTCCAGCAAGTCAAAATATACTGTCAACCAGCGTGACTTTAGAGTTGGACTGTTAGATCTAATTCTAGAGAGACTACGGTTCCATCCCTCAGCCACAAATCTTATTTAGATTAGCTATTGCCTTTTAGTTTATCTCAGAGGGGTGTGAAGAAGATAACAACAGTGATTGCAGTAGATTGTTTTTTAAACAAGTTGTGGCCTTAGTATCTCAAGCACTCCTAAGGCCACATGCCTCTGTTTGAATATTAAGGTCAACAGAAGAGGCCTTTTTAAAGACATCCTTGTGGCTCCATTTTCCGAGCTCCATTTGTGGGGCTTCTATCTTATTTCCAAACTGTGGGATGCACACTGTGCTCCTGCTCTTTCCACCTTTATGAAAGGAGTCTAGACCAGGGGTAGGCAACCTTGGCTCTTTTATGACTTGTGGACTTCAACTCCCAGAATTCCTGAGCCAGCCATGCTGACTCAGAAATTCTGGGAGTTGAAGTTCACGAGTTATAAAAGAGCCAAGGTTGCCTACCCCTGGTCTAGACCTTTCCCTTCAGATTTTTCAGTTTCAGCTTTCTTAATAATTCTTGTAATTGTTTTTATGAGATTTTAAGATGTTTTGGCCTTTTGAGTGCTTCATGGGAGGAAATGTAAAATATAAATCATTACAGGAAAAATAGTAGAAGGAAACCATGTTGGCTTGAAAGAAGGACAGAATAAAACCATGAAACACCAACAGCATGAGGAAAAGCTTCTCTTCAAATAATCTTACACATCTCCAGGCAAGTGTTCACTATACTCAGATTTGTTTTGCTGAGAGATGAAACGACATCAGTTACTTTCAGGTCATTCCTGAGGGAAGGCAGGAGTATGTCAGGGCAGAGACACATAGCACAGTATTTGGTTCAGAGTGTCCTATTCTATGTACTCCAGATTTACTTGTAATCATGTATATGATAAACACTCCTTATGCAAAGAGCGTTCAGGCCAATGAGGAAGACTGAAACCTGGCTACAGCCTGCAGGAAATTAGTTGTGCTTCACAAGATAAGATTCAGTGGCTCAAAATGGGGCCTACTAGACATAGGACAATGTACTTTGCAAGTTGTAGGCCAACATGCCTCTTCACACAACTCAACAATCCCAGTTAGTATCAAATGGGTTCTCCTAAGCCTGGAAGCTAAAAAATCTTTCTGCACACATCTTCAGGCTTCATTCAGGACTGTTGTGTGCATTAAATACACAGCAAGAGAGGCTAAAGGTTCAGAGGGCAAGGTACAAAGACACACCCAACATGGATCCACTAGATGCAGTAGCTAAGACTAAAAGCCATGAAAGTATCCAATCTCCTTTTTCAGGCATGTGCTCACAAGTGACTTCTATCTCTTTCTACAATATGAACAAAGTACCTTTAAGAATTCTGAGGATTCTCAAATTAAGCTACATGAAATGCTTCTCAGCACCTGAATAATTGTTATCTAAAGGTAACTTATTACATCTACACCTGATATGAATTATTGTGACTAGATAAATTCACATTCCTTAATTTAGCTGTTCTGTATCTTTCAAAAGACAAAACCAATTTGAAATGTTATACTCCTATATATCAACCTATGAACAAGATCTTCAGCTGAGATTTGGCTCTGAGCTGCAGCAGATAAATACCTGGGATCTTTTTGGCAAAGGATCCCAATTCTGAAACACTCATTCACTCAGGGTTCCATTTTGTTCTCAAAATGAAATTGCTCTTTATTTTTATTAATTATTTTATTGCTTTTTCAGGGGACCTTTAAATGATATGAATTCATATATTTTTTTCCTTTCAGGCTCCGGCACACTAACAATTTGTTATTCTGCTTCTTTTTCATTGGCCTTTTAAGCTATAATAAAGTTACCCTGTTAAATTATTTTTGCTTGCAGATTTGCAAGTCCTTTTTAGCAGAAAAATAAAGTATAAAGGCCAAAAGGGAGATAGAGAGGAATGCAAGGGACTGTGCATAATCGTCTGTTCACTTCATTCTCAAACTGCTACCCACTCTTCTGTCGAACCTAATACCTTAGAGTGTGCCTTCTCACTTCAGCAGAGCGTTTTGTCACAACTGTAACATTAGGAAAGGAAAAGTGCTACTAGTACATAGTGTTTATTCTTGCTAAAAATGTGATGAGAAGCTAGTGCCTTCAGGCAGCTCACCAAGCCTTAACTCAATGTGACTTTTCTTATTATACAAGTCTACGATTCTAAAACTATGTTTAAGCAAGTCAAGGTTTGGCACAAAGTGTGAATCAGGTTGCTTTTCTTAATGGACCCAGTTAAAATATAGTCCATTACACTCTTAACTTTAATTATTATGGACTTCTACATTCAGGCATCTGGTGGTTGGATTTTAACTCCCCTGGGCCTTCTATCCAGATGCTGGCTGGCAGGTATTGGAAGTTAAAGTCTGACACATCTGGAGAACACTTGACTGGGGAAGGTTGACCTTTGTTATAGAACTTTATAAAAAAAAGCTATAGGTCTCTACCTCCATCCTGTAATTTCCAGAGTGCTGTCCAAGCCTGGCTTTTCAAGCAAAGCTTTGGAGTGAGCAGTCTACTGGGTTGATATTTGACAATTATATAGTTATTGCAGGAGGCTACTTGAACGATTTATAGAAAAACAACCTATAAATGCAAACTTGTTGCACAGATACATACCAGTAGTGTCACTAGGAGGAGGGTCTCTCCCACTGGATTGTTCCAGTTCAGTCAATGTATTTCTGTCCCCTTCATCATCTTCATCTTCAGGTTCTTGGCCTCCTGAAGCCTGAGGCAAGTCCCCCTGGAAGGTAGGCGTCCTGTGTGGGGCAGGTTCATCTGGAGCATAAGTAGGAGGGTAACTTTGGGAGTAGGATCCTTGTGGGGGAGGTGGACGAGGGATTGAGGGAGGGCGGGCAGCATAGGTGAAAGCAGTGGTTTTGTGAACCACTGCGATATCTTCGAGGTAGCGTTGAACGGCATCTGCTAAAGCCCCACTTCCATGCTGCACATAGCTGTAGTTGCCAGGGGGTGGTGCCCGGAAGGCTGTGAGCAAAACAATTTCATTGCCCGTTTGACGCCGGTACTGTTCCGCTGCAGCCACCAGGGCTACCCAATTTTCCTTATGATTATCTGCCATATCTGTCATCCTGCAGGCAAACAAAATGAAAAGGACCCCGAGGTTAAACCATTGCACAGTGGAAGAGAACTCATCCATAGTTAAAAAGCTGAGCTGATGAAAATATTAAATATTCACAGGAAGGAAACAAACACCTGTTTCTAAGCGACACAAATACCGCACTGCAACAGGCATTCAAATTCACATGATGCCTTTTTAAAAGACAACTTCTGCTGCCTATGGTTGTTTTTGCCCAGTCAAAAAGTAAAATATTTTTAGTCAATTTGCCTAGCCAATTAATCAGCTGAATGTCACCGCCCTGGTTCACCCTGGGGCACTTTTATGAGAGAACAGGAATGGACAAAAGGCCAAGAAATCTGGTCTGCCTCGGAGAGAGGGAATTCAGCTTAGTAGAGTAACCAGGGCCTGAATTCAGAACACCTGGCATTGACCAGGAGTTTTAAAAAAACAAGTTAAGCCACGATGAACAGCCTTGTATGAAAACCAAGAGAGGCCACAGCACATCTTCTGGAAGAGCCAAAGAAGCTGGACACCTCTGGGTTTTTTTCATGGAGAGTGTGCAGGGCAGAAAGTGGGGTTCAGATGATCAAGATTGCTTTGGAAAGAGCATGCACCAGATGTGGGGGAGTGGGGTGCAGAGAAGGCTGTGCAGGGAGGAAAGCCCCCTTTTTCAGAGGGAAAGAGGCAAAAAAGGGGCACCAAAGCAAACGATACAGCCCTGGAATAAAAGCAAGGAGTGGGTGGGGGGACACATACCGACAGATAGACAGACAGACAGCACTGTGAGGAAGAAGAGACGCCCCCGGGCACAAGTCTTCGCTTTCTCTCCCCAGCCCTCCCCCCAAGCAGGGCTCCGAAAGGAAGCAGCGGCGGGGGGGGACGCATATTACCTTCTCCTGTCTCTTATTTCTTTTTCCCCCCTCGCTTAAGCACCGGAGACCAGTTCCCTCCCAGCCCCCTTGGGGGGTCAGCAGCCGGAATCCTGACCTCTCACCTTTAACCCTTCCCAGGACACTTATGCTGCCCCCTCCTCCTCCTCTTCTAAACAACAACCGCCACCACCCCCTCCCCACCCCCAAGACTCCGCCTCCTCCGACCGCCCTCACAAGACATGAGACCAGCGCCCACACATTGCCCTTTTCAAAGATGGAGGGCGGGGAACAAAGGAGGGCGTCGGGGAGAGGGAGGAGTTGAGAACGTCGATTGGCCTTCTTATGCCCGGCCCAAAGATGGCATCGGAAAGGGGGAGCTTTTCCTCGTGCGCATGCGTGTGATTGTTTAGCAAACCCGGGGGTTCACCTTAAATATTAAATTCATTCATTCATTTTTACATTTTGAGGGTTATCAAAATCCGAATGGTGGCCAAGAGATACTGATAATTCTAGATATGGCATATTAGAAGAGAGGGAGAAAGCTACATGTGATTGTGAACTTAGTAGGAAACCAGCCGAACCTCTGTAAAGATGAGGCGAGAGAGGAACTCAGGATACCTACGTGAAAATTGACGAATCTCAGGGCTACCCGTTTAAAACATAGCACCTTCGCTGAGATTTTCCGCAGGCGATTTAAACCGCCAGGAGTCGCTAGCGAACTGCTATAGTAAAACGCTGCCCGTTCTTAAGGGAAAATGTTGGTATGCTGCAGATATTCTAAAGACCAGCAGGTGGCAGCAAAGAGAAGCAGAAGCCACTAAGCCAGTGTTTCAATTTAATCAATCATGGCGACTTGAGGCTTTGTGGACTTCAACTCCCAGAATTCCACACAATTTAAAGTTTTCAAGGTTGATAAAGCGTGCTCTAAGCTTCTTGCTGCCATCGCCTGGTCAGACCTGGAAGACCTTCGTTGCTCATTCTGGAGACTGAAATCCCTCGTTTCACCATGCTTGCCAGAGTTTTTCTAATGCATTATTGATATTATTCTGATTTATTTGCTTGGTTGTGTAAGCTGTCCATAGTCACTGAGAGCTGGGCGGTATTTATTAGGGTTCGTCGCACAGCCAGCCAAATATTTATTTGGCATTTTTATCCACCTATCTAGCCCAAGGATAGGCACGTGTTGTTTGATGGGTGCTTAGCAGAAAGGAGATATATACTGAATCATCATCAGCATCAAACACTTCTGTTTCTAGAATACCATTCTATCAGGCAGAGTTTTTGAAACCTTTCAACTTCCAAGTATAGTATGTGAATCTCGAATCCCAGAACACCCCAGCCAACAGGTGTGCTAAGAATTCTGGGAGTTGAAGTCTCAGAAAGCATCCCACTCGGAAACTCTAAGTGTGTAAGTTATTTGTCATTTGATAGAAAATTCTTCCCCATCTATTAAGATAGGAGAAGGATTCACTTTCTCTCCGCTGCAAGATTAATTTTATATATTATTTCATTCAATAAAATTCCCTCGCTTCGAGTGCGTCTCTTTGTAATAATTGCAAGATAAACTTTAGATGAGCCTTAAATACTTCATAGACCCAATTTTCTTGGTAAAAAATTATTGGCATTATTTTTTTCTGTCTGTCCCCCACCCCCAGGCTTAACAGGCTGCCAATCAATCCATCCTGTATGGACCCCAGGCTTAACTTCCGAGGCCAAAATCACCCAGATGTTTCCACGTGCCAGCTCCCTAGTTAAATCATAAAATATATTTTCTATTTCGTACCTTCTTCGAATGTATAAGCATTTCTTAACCGGGGGCATAATTATTTAATATTACCTGCATACTGGCAGAAAACGTACAGATAAAGTCATGTTTAAAGAGCCAGTCACTTTGACCTTTTCAAAGATGGCGCCAAAAGCTTCATGTGTGCTTCCAAACGGGACATTCAACCGTTCCGGCTTGAGCTTTTTTCGCGCCAGAAACAATGATGACGGCTTCAAGACATATTTTTTTAAAAAACCCAATCGGAGCAGGAAATGACGTATTTGTTTTTCAGGAAGTAGCTGTCAGGCAGAATGGAGTTAGGGGGCTGCAGGGTAAGAGAGGCCTTTAATCCTCCAGGACGGTGCTCGTTAGGCTCCGCGAAGCAAAAAACGGGCTGTCAAAGGAAAAGGGAATTGGGGTTTTTTTTATTTTAAATCCCAGCATGAGCTGAAAATGATTCCCCGGGAATCGAGAGCCGGCTGTGTCACTCCGTATGGAAACTCTGGTTTGTTAGAAATGGAGAAATGTGCTTTCATCCGTCTTGGAAGTTATAGGGAGACGTGATATTCCTCCTAGAATCCTAGATGTATTGAGACTCCCCCCTTTCCTCCCCCCGGTAATATATAGAGGTTGGTTATCAGCGTTACGGTTATATAAAATGGTGGTTTTCCCCCTTTTGTTTTGAGGCTTTGACAATAAATCATTAAAGGAGCTTGGATCTGGTTACCTGAGCTGCACATTGGGGGGAAAAAAACTGGAGGAGTGGAATTCCTTCCATTCCTTTTCTTCTGACTTTTTGCAGGTTGCATTTGAGAAAGATGGGGTCTATTTACACACCAGTGCAAAGCGGCATCCTGACCAAGATTCCCTCATACCTGGAGTTATCCGCATCATTGAGCAGGTGGGTCGAGACAGGTTGCCGATTGGATTGTAAACTGAAGCAGGAGGCTATGTGGTCGTGGTGAGAAAATTGGTTACATTGGGATATTGGTTATATTGGGGCATTGTGTTCAGTCCTATTTACCGTTAAATGAATGGACAAAGCAGGCTCAAGACTTTTCTCTTTTCCTTTTTTTGATGCCTGAGGAAGAATCTGAGGCTTTTGTAGTTTTGTCATATTGACTCATTGTGGTTAAAGGTAGTTAGGATTCATTTGAACAAAACTGGTCAGAAGAGCGGAAGCGTCATATTTGAGTCCAAGGGTTTAACAGTTTGTTCATACTACAAGTTGTCCTCATTTAGTGACCACAATTGGGACTGGCAACTCGGTCATTAAAAATGTGTTACTTAAGATCACAGTGTTATGGTTTTATTTCAGTTTTCCTTTGCTTTGCAGACCTGAGAAAGCTGTACATGTGAGGTCTGGTTGCAAAATTATTTTTTTATCACAATCGTAAATGCAAAAGGCAGCTAAATGAGGCAGTTGTTAAATGAAGACTACCTGTATGGTATGTTAATGCATGTGCACAAATAGTAGATTATGTTGCACATAAAAGATTTAATTATTTCACAAGAAATTCTAAATTTCCAGCACTTTGTGATTTAAGCAGTGTGTATCAAAAAGCATTAGGCAGGTTGTGATGATATTTTAGAAAACAAAGTGGGGCATGAGCAGCATTTCAGTATTTATGCATCAATTGCTTTTCAAGGAGGAAACACGTGAAATTGAACACTCCTTTGATTCCTTACATTTCAAAGTTTGAAATTCACGTTTTGGAATGAGATATTTGGTTGGGATATTTTATTATGCTTTTTTCTTTTTATTCAGGGTTCAGATACTTTACTACAATGGACCCCTGTGGAAGACTCTTCAGATACTGCTCAAATCATGTACACCAAAAAGGTAAGATTTTCTGCTGATTTAATCCTCTGCCTATATGTATTAAACTCTGCAACATATTTGCTCTCAATATGTTGGCAGAAGTAAAAATTTCTTTAGTAGTTTTTTTTTTTTATCAAGCACTGTATAAGTTGTTTGTTCTTTGCAGAGCAATATGTTGTGGTATCTTTTCGGTCTGTCTAACAGTAAAAAAAAAAAAGACCCTTAATCTCTTGAGGAAAATTGTTACAAGAATACAAAACGATGCTTGGGTTTCAATTATATATGCCTTAAATTCTACTAGAATTATTATAGTCCTGTATCATAACGGAACCTGTCCATCATGGTTATAACTTGTGACAGTTGTAAAATCGGTCGGTCACAATACAGACATGATTTCATCTTTTTTGCAGCAGTCATTAAACAAATCAGTGGTTTGCTATGAGCGCAGTTTTGCTAAAACCAGAAGTAAATGCTGGATTTTGGGTAAAATGTGGTCATGTGACAGTGAGGCGCTGCAAACAGTTGTAAATGTGGCCTGGTTGCAGAATAC